TAAGCAAGTCGGGACCCTCCAATAGTTCGTCATTGAGACATACTCCATTCGTTACGGCAGCCGCATCAAACACTACTCGTAACTTTCCTGGCTTATTCGGGTTCGACACCGCGAAGTGGGGCAGATACCATAATCGTTGGCTCTGTAGTTCCTCCCCATTGCATTCCTCCGCGTACTTTTTATCAATCAGATTCTTTATCTGCGCTTTATATGTGTCTCTGAAAGAGCTTGACTTATCCATCTTCTTTTCAATGGTTTTCAATCTCTTCACGGCGGACTCGTAACTCGGTGGCATCTTCACATCATTGCGTTTCCACGGCAGTCGCACCTCATATCGTCCGTTAATTTGTTTTGTCGTTGTATTAAACAATTCCATTGCGCGAGCGTCGTTCGGACTGACTCGCTCCTTTCTATTTATTCCTATGGAATCGATTTCGAAGTGCTCCTTTACTTTTTCGTGAAGCGCATCATCCCGGTCGAGAGGGCGCGAGACCGTCGCGCATCGCGGTGTGTCTACGTATAACACCGAGTCGCTCTCTTTCAGCATCCCCGATCGCGGCGCTGACCCATGGATGACCCATCCAAGCATCGTGAGGGAAGCGATCGGTTCGTCACGCTTACCCTCGAGCAGTCTTCGAGTTACTATAAGATGCCAGTTGTCCGCTCCGATCAGTATGCGCGGTTCGGCATACCCATAACATAGATCTTTGCTACGTAAGTGGCGCATATGCTTATAGTTTAACGTTTCTTTATTTATCTTTTGTCGGTTCAACGTAAGATTTTTCATAGTTTTAGCTTTAATATTGAATCGCTTCTTATTCCCCGCGATCAATTGAAGATTTACTTGTTTCGTTTCGTATACATTCTGCGTGTTAATGCTTCGTATGCTTAAGTTATTTGTCGGCCCGTCGGCACCCACGTAATTGGCGAGATCTTCATCTATCACTGTTATAGTTGACCCTTCGTCGAGTAAGGCGTAAGTGTTGACCGAGCCTTTCGGTCCTTTTATGGTGACGGGACACACTTTCAACAATACTTTGGATCTTTCTGTTAAGTGAGTAGCTGATGCAACCATCTCGGCTTCCTTTGTGGGTCTCGCTTCGCTCGTTTGGGCACGGTTCTCGTGTAACATCGCATGATGTGGGTGGCGGCAGCCATCTACACCACATAACGGGCTGTCACAGTGTATCCGACGATGTTTTTTGTTTACACATCGAAAACAAATTTGGGATTTCTTAACCCATTTCCATCTTTCAGGTATCTTCATAGCTTTAAACCGTTCACATTGTGGTACTTCATGACGTCCCCCGCAACATAGACATACTTTGGAGGTGACGTCATCGTTGGTCGCGTACACCGCAGTGCTTCTCTTTCTATCGTATCGCGGTTTCATTTGTCCCTTTGTCTCGGCGATATTCTTTTTCATAGCAGTGGTGTTGTTGTTAGTCACATATGCGAATTGCAGTGATCTATTTGCTTCGCGCATCAAAAAACGAGACAATGTTACGATCTCTGGCTCTGCGTAGCTTCCGGATTCATATGCATAGTCGCACCAACGCGATCGGAGGTGGGGGCTAAGCTTTTCCACCACTTCTCTCACTAGTAATGGATTTCTCAAATACCCTCGGTCGTCGACATTATCCAATATGCATACTATATTTTGAAGCTTAATTGCGAACGTGTTGAGTTCGCTTGCCGTCGTACCCGGTCGCGGTAAATTCTTTATGTCTTCTAGCGCTCGATAAATAATCACTTCGGGTCGACCGAAACATTGTTCCAAAGACTTCATGATTATCTCCGGATCGGCGACGGTATACAAAAGCGCTGATACCGCTTCTTTCGCTTCGCCTTTCAAACAACTCCTTAATCTGGCTATATTTTCAGATTTAGTGAAGTGCCACTGTTCTGTGGTGTCGCGCATTGCTGCTTTAAACGGCAGCCATTCGGCCGGTGCGCCGCTAAAAATTGGTAATTCTTGAGCCTGACGCGGCACCGGACGCCTATTCATCATTCTTTCTAACGTATGAGCGAGCTTATCCATCCCCGAGTCTTCCTTAATCGTTTGCTGATCTCGGTTTGCTGTCTCATCGATTAGTTTATCATCACTCTGTTCCTTGAAGGGAGAGTCCGTAATGTGGCGGTGTTTATCTACCTCTACGGCTCGCGCATCCTTCCTTTTCTGTTGCGCGGCCGTATCGCCGTCCCTTTCCGACATGGGCTCTAACACGTTCTGACGCCGTAGATTCTGGAACCAGTCGTCCACTCGTTGGACATTATCGACGGCGGGTAAGCTCTCCGGATCGGTTTCCTCCTGTATAGTAGCTATTTCGTATGCTAATCTCTTTTTTATTAGCTCCGATTCAATATGCAACTCGCGGCGTCGTATTTCCGCGAGTCGCTCTTCCGCTGCGAGTTGCGCCTGCTTAACGCGCGCAGCAACGCTCGAATTCGAACATACCGTTGGTGGCCTCGATCTAGGCATATCGTCGCGATGTTCAATTCTCTGTGCGGCGGTACCTTCTACGGTTTCTTGTGGCGCTTCCGACGGCATCACGGATGAGGCAAGGCACGAGGGTGACGCAGGTGGCCTGTCGAACACTTTTCCTTTAGCGCTGTCCATTTTGCTTTGTTCGGCTTGGCTTTGACGTCTCGTCGTTGGCATGTCCTCTTCTTACTTGCAGCCCCTACTCCTATCAATCTCAAACGGGTACGCTAACTGGGGAGCCCGCTTGAGGATGGATATCGTGCAGGATAGGAAGGTAGGAACTACCCAGCAGAGAGTCGGTCGCGGACAACGGGGCGCTCGCGTATCGGCTGGAATGTCCGATAGCATTGGCAGTGCCTACAGAAAGGACCCCCGCTCCACGCCAAACCTTACTGGCGTAGTAAGACGTAGTTCGGAAACGAACTATCAATCTAATCCGTATGTTTACAGCCCCGCGAAATACGACGTGTAGTTCGGAAACGAACTGACCACTTCGTCCGTATGGTTACAATGCCTTGCGTAGTACGACGTGTAGTTCGGAAACGAACTGACCACCTCGTCCGCCTTGAACGGCGTTAACTCACTACGCACACCGTTTGGCACCGTTAGGTGGTGTACGCAATGAGCCCGCGGTCCACCCGCGTATACTCGTGACAGAACACGAGTGTTTTCTTCGGCTATGTCCGTAGGTCTGGAACGTTTTTCAGTCTTCTGACTTCATATATCCGGCGAGCGATGGACCAAACTTCTATCTTCGTAGCTCGGTGAGCGGTGGACTGTAGAATTGAAACTTCCTTCGATGGTTTTCACTTCTTCTTTATTCTTAAATCTTGAGGGCCGGAGAGCTTACAAATTTCGCTCAAATCGACCCGTCTTACATTTGTTGGGGTGGCTCGCACTTAGCTCCGTATATTATCAGTTGGTTAGCCTATTACACATCTAACCCCTACTTTGCGAAGCCATCCCCCACCCTTAACATCTATGTATCACATTATTGTTAATTACTACGTTTTACTGTTTCTACATTTACATCATAAATCACGTTAAAACATCATCATATTATTGTTACATAACTCGTATCGTGTCGGGCAAGACCGCGCCGTCGAAGCTCATAATCATTCTAAGGCGCGCCGCGCTCTTGCCCGATGTATTTATGTGGTCAGAGCGAGACGGAAGATCCCGCGTAAACCAGCGCCGTCTCGCTCCGATACATTTTTATTGTCAACATGAAGGTAGTCGAACATTTTACATTTTAAACACCCCTGTATCGAGGCAATACCGTATAGAAACCCACATAAACTCCCTTGACTCGGGCAATACCATATAGAAAACCCACATAAGCCTCCTTGAGTGAAGCAATACCATACAGAGAGCTACCTAAGCCTCCTTAGCGAGGCAATACCTTATAGAAAACCATATCAAATAAAATCCAACCCCTCACAATAATTTAATTTGCTATAACTTAAATTATCTTAATACTAGGGGAATAAATACACCCATAGGTTGTATCATTTAATTCTAAGCTTTAACCACATTCATTTAACTAAACTTACTTATTATATATAATTTACTTAAGATCATCTAATATATACAACTCGACGAGACGTGCGTCCGTAACAGATACGTTTCACATAGAGATCTGAGTGGTAAGGATAAGTAATTTATATGGAGCACATTTATTATTACGCAATAACTAAAAAAAATTGAATATCCGATGAATTTGCCACGGGCCTCAAACGGTATAGTTACGCCACTGGTTTTCATACTAAAATCTTAACGCATTCAAGGTCGACAGTGAATATTCATACCAAAAAAAACTTACACTTAACCCTCTTAGCAAAAACATCGAATGATCAAGCTATACCCGAATCCTGCTTTATAATCCAAATTTTAATCAATTTCCAAGTAACAGTACCTAGCTATAACGATTTGCATTCCGAATCCCTGAGGACCACAACTCTTTTATTGGTAAACTCTGCATAGAGCATTCATAAAGTAAAAAGCACCAGACGTTTTGGTTACTGGTGGTACGATCTGCCATGGTTTTGCTCAGTATCAGTACTATCAGGGCCAGCCCCCGTATAGGCAAACTAAGGGTGCTCGTATTTGGAGAGCAGCATGGCATGGCAAACTGTAATAAATTGAGTCTTTGAAATGCAGTAAACTGCAGTACTCGGTGTACACAATAGTGTAAAAAATTGTTTGAACTGGACTCATGTCCATATCCGCGGTATTCAAATGTACGAAATTTTCGAATGAAGGAGTTTCTTATGCTGTTGGCAAAATTACACTGTTTAATCGTTCTACAATAAACTTTTTTTGTTGTAATTTCTTGTATGGACGTTTTGCCAGTGTTTTGCCTAGGGCACCAAGTTTCATTGAGCCGGCGCTGAGTACCATGTACCATGTTAATTATCACTCGTATTTCATTATAATACGTATATGTATGATTAGAGATACTTATAAGCATGGATGGATTAATAGTATATTATTAGTAGTTATATCACATTCATACCTGCAATTCCGGTTGGTGAAATCACGACGTTATGATTTTCGTTTTGCTTCATCATAGTTTTTAATAAATTTAATCCAAAATTATTTATGCCCATATCCGTTGTGCCTTTTATGGCGATGCTTAAAAATATAAAAGACCGTGTAAGTGAGGCAAATGGATACGTTGTAATCTGCTCCATTCAAAGTTGAATGGAGAAGGTGAAAAAATATGTATTGATCTAGTCGTAGTCTGTTGTCGTCATACCTGTTTTCTGTGGTTTCTTCTTCTAATTGTATCGTTGATACAATACATAGCGCCGTTATTACACAAACAAGGTATTTCATATCTGAAAACAATAAACGGAAGTCAGTAAATTAATTTCCCGTTACCAGCATTATATGGCATTGGCATGTGCTAAGTAAGTCCTAACTGCTTTTCGCCAAAATTATTTTTTCGATTATTACTTCTCAAACTAACGTTTTTCGGACATAACGTTGGTTTTAGCAAGTGACAATAGGCTAAACAATTTTCGGCGAAAATTTCGTGATTGCTTAGAGCATTAGATTTAGGAATTCTTCTGAACGTTAACTTTAGTGATAATGAGAATGCGTTATAATTTCTGAATTATTACTAAAGGAGAATGTTTTCTTGGTACTTTATTCCGAAAAAATCTAACCACTATAAAGAAAATTATCATAGCACCTCTAGACCCAATCATCTATCTTTCATCAAAGTTTCAGGCCTGAAAATTCCCCCGCTTTAGAGAATTAAGTTAATAAAATCGGTATGGTTTTCCTAAAAACACTAATATGCACAACCATAAAACTTAATTTGAAAAAGAAAACGCCTCAAATTAAGCTTATTTCAATAGTATTGAGCCGGGCAATGGAGTAATAAAAAAACAGTCAAGTGCGAGTCGATCTCGGGCGTTGGGGGACAAAAGAAGGCCATATGATATTTTGCAGAACAATTCGCAAAACTTTTTTTTAATTGTCACATAGTTTTATTAGGTAGTTGTTTGAAATTCATTTATGCTACATCGCCGACGCTGGTCAGATACTTGCATAGTTAACACAAGTGATTCTTTCAATGTCTCAGCTTTACTTCTTAGCGATGTGATAGAATTATAACTAATGCTACACTTCTAAAAAATCTAAATTTTATTAAAATAAGTACGAAAACACTGATACTAAACAAAATTGACTACGGCATCAATTTTTTTTCGTCCATTATGTTCGAATTGATTGTAGGTAACTACTTTTATATTAACTAAAAAAAGGGCAAAGAGTGCCTTCCCAAGTAGCACAAAACACCATTATATCAAACTTATAATAGCACGAGTCCAAGCGTTAAGCATTATAATAAAATCGTATATCAACCGTATTTCTTTTAAACGATTCTTATACGTAAAAATTGGGCCCCCCCTTTGTACGACTTTAAGCTTTATAAAAGCTGTGCAATAGCAGTACAACTTTTGTATAATAGCATTAATAAAGTCGGCTAAAAGCATTCTAATAGCCACAAAAAGTTCAATTAGCACCTTAAAGTGCTAATTGAACTTTTTATGACTATATTACAATTGATATGCGTAAATCAAAATTATAATACGTTAATTTAATGTTATAAAATGCTTACTGTTTTATTTTCTTTGTAAAAAAAGTATATTTAATAGATTTTAAAAACATATAATCAGTTTAAATTATTGTTTTGTGTAAGTGTCATGACATATTCACTTGGCTGGTCTTTTAAGTATTTTTGAATATTGATTTAAACAGCTCGTTATGTGTGAAATAAGCTGCGAACATCAGTTTGTGGAGTAAAATATACAAGTTTATGGTGTAAAATACACGCGCCTTCGCAAACTTCCTTTTATATAATAAAAATAATAAAAAATTTAACCTAGTAGCAAAAATTTTTGTTGAATTTTAGGCTTTTTAGCATTGTTTTAACAACATAATTGCTTTTATCGGCATCTGTGCACAAAATAAATGATTATTTACCCCTTTTCATCTGACACAGTTGACTTTAAATATTTTGTAAGAATTGGAAAAAGAAAGCAAATGGCGACTCGTAAAATTAAAGCATTTGGTATTCAAATATGGTGTAGTAGAGCTGTTAATCGTATTATGGTTAGACACAAAACTAAGAGCTCGTAATTCACCGTATAACACACTCCCATTTTAGGTACAGCCGTATTTTTACACTTCAGAAGTATCTTATAGTACTTATAATTATCAAACGATTATTTCATTTTTATTTTGATTTTTAAAAGCTTCAATTAAATGAGAATACTCTTTTTTCAGTTTTCTTTTATATCCATCTGTTTTCTTTGTTTTTCCCAACGTTTATTGTCCATGGCGCCAGCGATGCGTATAAAATGCCACCATTACAATACAATACATAAAATAATTTTACATTTTAATTTCACATAAAAAATAATTACGATCTATTTATTACTTGTATCTCTATAAATAACTTAATATTGATCAAAATATAGCCTAATGTTTTATAAAAGCATAGATTAAGAAGATAAAGGAGCTTGAGCTCGATTAAAGAATACTTTAAGAACAAATCGGTGCTAATGTTTTACTAGTTCTTAATTCAATGTGTATATAGGATAAGCATTAAATCGATACAACCATAGCCCATTAGAAAACCTTTGTTTCTAGAAAATGACTAAATACAACTAAGTGCACTAAATAATATTACGTTAATGCTTATATAATATATAATGTTTTTCATATCACCGAAATACGATAACAGCTTCATATTAATATTTCCCAATACTTAAATAGGAGTTTTGACATTGGTATACTTTTTTTATTAACCATAATATGGCATTAAGCATTATTAGATAAAATAAATGCCTTTAAACAGATTCGAAACTTGACCAGTGCTGATTAAAAATGTTAGTATGACTTTAGGACATAAATTACTTATTTTAGTTAATATATTATTTATGTGCTACTTGGGTTGGACTCATGCTCCGCACCCCTCCGTTCTCTGAAATATTACATTTTAAAAAGGTGACTCTTTAAAAATATTTACAATATTATTACCTATATTTGATCGATTTCGTACGGAGCGTTGCGGAGCATGAGTCCAACTCACTCTTTGCCGTTTTTTAGTTAATATACAACTAAAGTTACTTAGTTACAATCAAATTTTTAGTCTAGCATTGTGAATGCGAAATTGATAAAATAAAATAATAAGAACAAATTTTCATCTTTATCGAAAGTTTAGTTATTTATTTGTAAAAATATTTCTTTCGGCTGTTTGGGTGATTTGCCTGAACATTGATGAGAATACGCTCTGTAGTAGCGAAAAAGTAACAAGTTCTTGATTCTTCAATCCTATTAGGTCTCGGTTAGCTCAGTATTTAGAGCAGTCGCCCGGATTGCGAATGGTCATGGATTTGAATCCCATCTCAGGGTGCCAGTTACAAAATGAATTTCTAAGCACTTTTCATTAAGAATATATTTACTATATTTTTTAAGCCCAACAGTTTCAAAAATTATTCTTAGTCTAAGATTGTTACATACCTTATTGTAAGAGTAATAAACAAAAGTGACCAATATACCGGTATTTCCCGGTTGAAATATGGTAAGGGCTCGCACAATAGAACCTAATGTTTCTAGTTAATATGCCTACTTCTCACTCAATATAGCTAGGTGCTTATTAATTATAAGATAATATATTTTCATTTAAGACTATGGTCCAACTAGTTTACACTACTGAGGTAATCTTTAATGACGCTGACCTTTGCAAAAAAAATACCAGTGGATTATCATGCACAAATTTTTGTATATTTATAGGCATTTATGTTAGTCATTATTTCAAAATTCTTGCAATATGTCGTCGTGTTGAAATCGATCGAATGTCTGGTTTTCATAAATCATTAAATTGCATTTGAGAGATTATAAGATTAGTTTAGTTTTGGTGAATTAAAAAAAAGTTTCAATAGCTAGTGTTGTTTATGAATGAAACATTCCGATATTTAAATTAAGAATTAAAAATATGACTGCTTAAAATAATTCTACGTACTGAGCGTTATGTTCCTCTAGAAAAAATCCACAACACATTTATCAGTTGATATTATGTTTCACCGATACGAACTTAACACTTGGCTGGCTACAAACGACTGAACCTCTGACTGAACGAACACAAAATAAATGAATCTGTTGGAGATGCTATGCGAGTCGCGCGTCGACGTCGACTAGTGTGGTTGGTAGGGACAAGCGTGTCCCTGTCCGAATGACTCGTAACGTAACCTTGAACAGTGTAAAACGGTATACTATAGGAATACAAAATGTATAAATAACGTATGTACATATACCTAATATAGAAATACTTGCGCCCGTATAAAGGCAACAAATAATACTATTTATCATGATTGTGAACATGATTTAAAAAAAACCTTTTGTTAGACCGGTGATGTTGTTTAGGTTGCTCATATATAACAAATTAAAAGAGCTTATACTTAACTAGATTGCGTTATTTAATTACAAAGCTGCCATGGCCACCTTCCAGTTCCATCATCACACCCTGTGTATTATCTCAGACCAATGTCATTGCGTTCCTCTGTAACCATCCACAAGGAAGGCATTTGGGATGTAAAAGGGCTGATGATGGTAATGAATGTCATTGTCTACCTGTGGTGATTACGCGGAAATTGAATACATACACTTTGATACACCCGTCATTATTGTTGTTCAAAAATAATTAAATCTGATTGACATTTTTTAAATCGGTGAAATCAGTATCTCCTACAATATCAGACTCAACATAGATTTTAAAATAAAAAAGAAATATGTCAAGAAATCAATAAAGACGTATGTGTTAGCTTATAGGTAATTATTAAAAATTAAATTATTATCTATAAAGATAAGACTCTTCTACCGTGCTCCCAGGTTCAAACTACCGTCGTGATATAGCTGTTACCTACACTACCGCCATTAGAATTCTATTAGGTAAATCATCATCACTTGGGATAGTCGACTGGACCTAGCACAGTCTAGCGCCGGTGTTCATTAAGTGAAGACGTCAATTATAATTCGAGTGACGTATTACGGAACGTGTAATAAATTAATTAAGTGTATAAACTTTTAAACTTTCGCGTTGCATTATACGGGTATTCACCTACCTAATTTCCCGACGTTTCGACCAGGTTGCACCGGCCGTGGTAACGGGCTGACTGTTTCTGCGATGCTACGTCTCATCTTCTGAAGTGGAATCCACTTCTACCGTCCAGTTTTTTCTCCAGGTACCGCCACACACAACACTAACGGAATCCCTATTCTGTATCGCAGCCGTATTCTAGTGGTCCGGCAACCACGAAAAGTTTTT